CACACAATAGCCCCAGATCCCAGTGAGAATCCGTACAAAGTGACTGAATGAAGAAAACACCAAGGAAGGTGAAGGAAACAAGGGCAGCCTGAGAGTCCTGCTTGGAATGCCACATCACCAGGAACAGCCCATAGGAGAGACCCCAGGAGCTTTTTGTCCTTCTGGCAAACCCTGTGGAAACAAACCCTTAGGACACAAAGCCTCCATTCTCCATGGACACACACAGTGCCTTTGAAGACACCTGTACTGTGTAAACAGTGATCTGTGCTTCAGACTCCTCCGGTCCTCAAACCTTGCCTGGTTTTGCTGCATGTCTTAAAAGGAGGATCTACTGGGGAAGATAAAACCTCCCTAGCGTGACCTCTGAAGTGGGTACCAGTGCAGCGGTTGTTCCATCAGGTTCATGCAGTTGTAGCATCAAATGCTGTTCCCCCTCACAGGCAGTGGATGTTTCTCTCACCTCGTCGGGAGCTGCTGAGCTGAAGTCCTTAGGGAATCCCACACTTTATTTTTCACTCTGCCTGCCTGGCTATTGCAACAGGGTGACCTTGATCCTGCCTGGGCTTGAGGGTGTATAATTGAGCATTGAGCCCATATACATTAAGAACAACAATAACAACAACAGAACCCCAGCCAAAGCCCCAAACCAGGCATTTCCTAACTTGTGTGTGGAACAGAGCGTCCTGTCCAGTGGATGTACTGCCTCCTTCCCAGTCCTCCTCTGTAAACACCATTGACCTTCTGTGTTTATCCAATCCACAGGGTCCATGTAGTTCTGTGATTCCTTCAGTTGTTCCACCCGCTGGATGAGTTGTAACAGGCACTGAATGATGGGGGTTTTGTTGCTTGCTTACTTTATACACCACAATTTCCTGGTTTATATGTCCAGAGAGTAGTACTCTTTAATTTAATATTATTCATAGATTTTATTGAGCATTAGTTAACTTTGTAAAGCACCTTAATGGGCTGTGTCTTCTTAATTATATATGGCAAAACCTATAGAAACAAAGGAAAATTGACCCAATTTGTTACAGCTGGTTTGTAAAGAGCCCTTGAGGTGACTGAGCATCACTTTCCTCTTTTATTGCACTTCACACATTTCCCAGCTCCTGTCAATTCAGATCACGTCTAACCTCCCTTTCCTGAAGCAGCCTCTGCATGCAGCGTGGTTGCCCCTTCTCCCTCCGGCACTGAGCCAGACCCCAGTGTCTTGTCAGTTATTTTAGGCAGGGGGGAAGACCACTGACATAGTCTGGTGGAGTTTTCTTTTCCTGCTGCTTACTGGAAACATGCAAAATGCTGGGGTTTGACTTTGCACTCGTGGCTCCTAATGCTTTGCAGGCATAAAAGTACCACATGCCTGTGGGGCTGCAGACCCGCTGCTTGCTCTCACCAGTCTTGTCCCTTGTTTCTTTGTGTCTCTGTCTCAGTATACAAACCTGCAAAATAAGAGAGAAACTCTGCTCTGCCAGATCTTAAGTCCTTCCAGCCCTAATTGTTCTGTGATTCTAAACCTGGGTGAGCACCTTTCCCAACGCAGCGGTGTGTGCCTCTGTTTCAGCAGGAGGCTGCAGCTCCACGGCACTGTCTCTTCATAAACTTCAACTATTTCCTACAATCATCCTAAAACCCCTTTAAATCTTGTTGAACTTGTAATGCATTCATGTCTATTGTGAAAATGATCAGGAAGCATTTTCTATATGTTGGCTGAATGACTCTATATTGGTTCATATATCTCCTTTACACAGCAAAAGCTGCCATAAGCCCTTTTCTAGGTACCCATCAAGCACTGTCTGGCGCATCAGTGAGGTGTGAGCTAAAGCTGCAGCTCTGGTTTGTGTATCTAGAATATGTTTTGAATATCAGCTACACCACATCCTGGATGCAGCATTAATTAAACAGACTGGCCCTGCTTCAGGCCCCAGTGGACAAGCATCCACATGGCAACTGTGAGCCTTGTCGGCAGCAAGAGATTAAGGAATTAATTGGCAGGGTTAATCTTCGTGTCAGGGATGGAAATGAATTGTTAATTTGTTTGGATGAGTGTAAAGTCCTCTCGCAGCGATGGCAGGTGGGATCACACGGGGAGAAGCCTGCAAAGCTGCCCTTCCCAGGGACCTTCCTATTTAACACCACCTGCAAACGGACCTCTTGGGTTCTTTGCCCCTGATGTGCGAGACTCCTGCACAGGGTCAGAGCAGTGGGTTGTGCTGCTTGTGTGTAACCTCCATCCTTGCAGCCGACAGCACGTGGGAGATGGGAAACGGACTGGCTGCAGCCTGGGAGGGCTCCTTCATGTTACGGCTTTTCTTTTTGATCCTGCTCCTGGCTGCTGCATTGCAGATACTGAGTCAGGCCAACCTGCTTCAGGATCAACAGATGGAGAGAGATGTGCTGTTGGGGCAAGTGGTACCAGAGCTGCGCACAGAGTGTACAATTTGATGGGTCTGTACAGACACTAAACCTCTCCTCCAGGACACTGTAGTATGAGAATCTGTCAGATCTCTTAATGCTTTCTCCTTTCCCCTCTCATTTTACTCTCAGGACAGCAGAATATTTTCCATTTTAGTATCTTTTGGATCTGTTAAGGCTAATGCATTGGTCACATCACATTAAGACATAGGTGAAAAGCACCTCAGGGCTTAAATTACTGAAATGTAAATGTGACTTTTTATCACTTGTGCTCTCTTTTGTGCATTGATCTAACGAGTTCTGCAATAAGAAGCACTTTTTCCCCATGCTGTGGTCTGATAGGTTGTGGCACAGCCTGACTCTAGATGTGACATCAAATAGGACTTGCCTGCACAGAAACCTGGGATCTTTCTGGGTGTGCAACAATCCTGTTCAAGAACTTACAGTCAAAACACTCCCCTGTTGCCCACGTTTCAGTTCCCACTATCAGCTCTTACACCTACTCTTCCATTTCGCCTGAGGTACCACTGGTCACAGCACACAGGCACTGAAAGATGTGACAATCACAGTCTGATCTGCTGAAGTGAGTTTGTAAGATGTTGCTGTTATACACAGGTAAGATATGCTCCTCGTTTTTGGAAGAGCCTTAGTGTGTGTGTATGAATATCACAGAATGAGGTACTGAAATACAGGTACAGTCGCGCCCTGTTGTTTGTGGCAGTCGTGGGAAGCCACCTCTTTGTGCCCAACACATGATTTATGGGGAGACTGATGCTGTTCCAAGGCGCTGTAAAATAATGAGAGGTTTTCACAGCCAAAACCACTTGGCTGGGTTTAGCCTCCAGATCCACATCCTGTCTGTGCAGTGTGCCACCACAGGGATACTGAGTCCTGCCAGTAAAAGTACTCAGGGATGAGGGGTTGGTTTTGGTGCTCAGGTTCAGTCCCCTCCCAAAGGAGTGCTCACTGCCGTGCTTGTGTCCTCTGACACCAACTGCTTCTCCTTCCCATGCCCACCCCATTTCCCTACTCCTCCAGCTTCCATCCCACACTGCTTCTGCCTCTCATTTTTACCTCTGTTCTCCTTCTATTTAACGTGAATTATCTTTGTGCTGCTTTTGCCATCTGTGTGAGTCTACAGAGACTTCCATCCATTGATCATTCAGGAGCAGTTTTGCTGGAGAGGGGAGAGCAGGGTGTCCAGCAAGGTCTGGGACACCTGAGTAGAGCTAGAGGCAAAGCAGGAGGGCTGGTCTGATGTTTGGGTGATGGTTTTTGTTAGGCTGTCACAGTCACTGAGTGCTAAATAAAAATACATCTGATGTGATACTTAAGGTATCTTTAATCTGACCACTGTCACTTGTATTTGAGACCACAAATAATAAGCTCTGCCATCAACTGACACAGCAACTCTCTTGTGCATTTGTGTAAACCTGTTTTGGGGCTGTTTTGCATTCTGCAGGTTATTTGGGGCAATCTCTTTGTAGGTGTCTGTCGAGCACTTGCTCATACTCTCACCTTGCATTTCACGTTTTCCTCTGCCCCTGGGCAGCCAGGTGGTTGACTATAAGCCAAAACTAAGAAGGATTTCCTCTTTTCTGTGGAAGGGATGGGGGCTCAGAGGTTTACAGTTGTACTTAATCAGGTAGAGTCTGTCCTGTGTAGCTAAGAAGGCCCACAGGCTGTTGCTGGCACAAGCAGCTCCTCCACTACAGTCCAGTTGAGCTGCCATTTTGCATTCCACATAGAACTGTGCTTTATGTGTTTTGGACTTACTGGTGTCCTGAAATGCCAGTAACATGGTGATGTTCTAGTACAGCTTTTGCATACTGTCATTTAAGATGACTGTGTTAGGAATGATGACCACTACATAGTTTAGAATGAATCTATGCCACACAGAAAGTTTTAATATTTAAAGTGAATGACTGGGTTCATCACAGACCTAGTTAGTTCTTTGTGTAGTAGCCTCTACTATCCATCCATGATGATGTTAACATGACATATAATCAGGTTTAGAAAATGCAGCAGTTGGTTTCTATGTCCCTGGGCTCATTCACTCCCCTAAGGAGAGCACTGACAATCTGAGGAATTTTACTGGAAAACAGGCATTTCTACAGCAGGGTTTTTGGGGGGGATTGTAGAGCAATTGACTGTCTTCATATCTACTTTGGCTGCAAACTATACTGTACAAACACTTCTTTCTTTATACATAGCAGAGATTTTACAAAATGAGTTCAGTGCTCTCTTTCAGTGTTCAAATCGGGTGGTAAAGCTGTGGAACGTGCCCTGGGAGTTGATTAAGTGAGAGCTCTTCCTCTGCAAGTTGTGTTCCCATGCAAATATCAGCACTACGGGAGCTGAGAACACAAGCCTGCAGTACCTGCTCTGTCCCTGTGGCAGAGCAAAGCATTTACTGCTTGTGTAAAGACAAAATGTATTTTTAAGAACAATTAATTTCCTTGTGAAACTTGAAAGTGGATGAAGTGGAATTGAGACAACGAACTTAGCGATATGGTATTTTAGCATTGAGTAAGAGACCTTTTACCAATTCAAGAACAGAATTTGATGTTTAGCATTTTCCTTTCTAGGAGTTAAGACCCATTCTGCAGGCCCTAGGGCCTGAACAGCATCTCCACCTGGATTTTCCAAGGTTTCTTGTCTTTTCTTGAAAGTGGAATCAGGAAGAAGATCTCTGGGAGGCAGGACCCTGACAGGGGCTTCATCATCTCATTTATGGCTTCAGTGAGCTGTGTGGTAGGTACAGTTTGTCTGTTGTCCCATGGTGGCAGGTACACTGCCTTAGCCATTCTGTACTATGGTTGTAAGGTTGTTCTGATGTACTTAAATCAATGAAGTACACTGTGAAGATAATCTTGTTTAAAGGAAACCCAATCAAATATCCTGTAAGATTAATACACGAGATGAGAAATCCAGTTAGAGTACATCCTGCCACTTCAATCATTATGGGCACAACCCCCACAGGTAGGTCCTGTATGGTACACAGGAGCTGTAAGTGGAAGGACAGGTTTGATAGATCTATTCCAATTCTTGGTTATGGATAGTTCAGGAACCTAAAGCAGTGACAGAGGAAGGCAAAGCTCCCAGATCAGGAAGGAATGAGCTCAGTTGGTAGAAGACAGGTATTTCTTGACACTGCAGCCATTTAGCCTAGAGATACGGGACCAGAAATGAAGAGCACAAGGCAGGTTTGACACTTTTATTAACAAAGAGCCCATAGGGCTCAGTCATTAGTACAAAATACAATCATGTTCCTGTAGGTTAAACAGCTTTTGTTTTTTGTATTTTTTTCATTTTGTCTCTTTTAAACTGTTTCACAGTTATCAAAACAAAGCCCCTGCATATTGAACTTATTGTGCAAACAGTAATTATTTTAAGGATCAATTTCTGCACTAAGCCAAGTGTCAGAGAGCAGAACTTAATCTTATTGTCACCCCTCCTTTGAAGGGCAACGTGTGCTTCCTAAGAAACACATTCTAGTTGTCTTTTTATTTTTTTGCAGCAAACAATCTAAGGCCACGGTTTATCTGCAAATAATACAAAACAACTCAAAGATTTTAAGGGGGAAAAAGGGGGAAAGCACGTCTTTACCCTTCATGCTCTTGTTTGCTTGACCATGTTTATCCCAGGTAGCACACACCACCTATCAGGTGTTACAGTCCAAAGAAGCACCTAATGTTCTTTAAGCTAATATTTGGAATTATTAACATGCAAGTTAATACACAGCCACATGACTTCCAAAATAACTATAATGGTATCTGTTTAAGGAGAATACACTTGACTTGTTCCCTTTCCAGGTGATGCGAGTGGGAATCCTGCACTGACTGTATGGGCACGCCATCATGAACTCAAAGGCATCAGATCTGATCTGGAGACTTAAGGTAAATACTGATCTTTAGAGTGACCTTTCTAACACATGTACTCCCATTTTGGTTAAAGCTGCATCTGCTGTAGAGGACAATACTTAAAGTTGCACATGAAAACAGTAACTGCAGTTTGAATTTGGAAGCTTGCATCTCAGCGTGTCTTTTACACTGGTGCAAAAGTGACTTGAGGTGAAGTGCTAGGAATCAGTGTATGAAGTCACACTAAGGCCCAACATATGTATCTGTGTGTGCCTGTAGAAAATCCCTGCTTCTGAAATGAAGCTAGATTTAATAGAAAAAACATTTAAACTTGTTTAAACTGCAGTTATTGGTGAAGCTAAGGTAACTCAGTAACTATTCTTATAGTTACCAGAAAGTACAATGTTTCACCATATGAAGTACCGGGTTTTGACCCCAAACCTTTGTGTAAGACACATGGAATAGTTTGGGTAGTTCAAAATCCCCTGTAATTTCAACACTTGACTGTAAACTCACAGATCAAGAATGCTGTGTTTCTACTCCTTTAAGAGGTCTCTTGATGGTGCCTTAACTTATCCCAGTTGATGCTTGGCAGGAAGCAAACATTCTACTTTTAATGAAGGCAGCAGAAGGGCTTGGTAAAATGCTGTGCCTTCACCCTTAGCAGCAACAAACTCTCACTGTTCTAAATGACCTGAGGAAGAAAACATTAAAATATTGCACCAAAACAAAATAAAACAGCAAAAACAAACAAGGAAACACACTAACAAAACCCAGTATGGATAGCGAAGGACCAGTGCAGCCCCTGACAATGGGTCTCTAGACAAAAATGCAGGAGGAATGAAAAGCTTTGTGCCATTCCCAGAGGATTTTATTCCCCTGATGTCTGCTTTCACTTCAGTTATAAGCTATGTCTATTCTGGGTATATTTACACCTCTCCCTACGCCTCCTATCTCAGTCACTAACCACAGAAACCATTTAGGGTCCTGTTGAGAACCTTAAAGTATACTGGAGCTGTAACAAGACTTGTTTTGGTCTCAAATCTGACCGTAAGTAAATATCCAAAACAGAGGTAGGCTTATAAAGGCTTCTGAATAAATAAGTATTGTCCATTTTGCTAAATATACCTGCTCTTGGCGAAAGGCTTCTCCCTTGCCATGCTTCCCCTCATCATGCTATCCATAGGCTTAAGATGCAGAAAAAGAACTCACAGTAGAAGAGGCTAGAATAATTCCCTTAAGAAATCCCTTGAAAGAAAGCATAGTGCATAAGCTCTTATTGAAGTTCCATTTTCTTTTGCATACTTTTGTCTTTCATTCAATACACGACTGCCTTCATAATATTGCGTATAGCTATTCTGTCATCCATGATGTCTTTAGGATCATTATGAATGATGAAATAGTACCACTTGATAGTTGTTAGAAGGCCAGGTTCTCATGAAATACAAAGTTAAGCTAGAGCGAAGACTTCACTCCATGATTTAGTAGTGTTCCTTGGATGCAGACAGTGCATAACTGAAGCCCCTTGAACACTGGATTCTTTTGGAAATGTTTTCTCACCCACATTCTGTCCCACAACATAAATTCTTCTCAGGAAGTTCACAACATAATGAGCTAAATTCTTCCAAAGTGTTCCAAACAAAACATTCTCTCTTCAGAAGATCCTTGCATCTCCTCCTCATACCTTATGTATATCCACTCTTCAGAAAGCTTTCAGTATTTTCAGGTACTCCTCGAATATCCCAAGCAGAGCTGCTCCCACAATAAATATCCTCTGTGCAGACTAATCCAGCAGATTCTCTTCCATCACCAGACATGCTCATACCTCCCCTCCATTGTCCTTTGCCTTTCTTGCAGATAAACTTAAGTTTTGGAAAAGAAAACTGTTTCCTTTTTAGCTGCACTATCAGCTTAAGCAGCAAAAAGATTTAAGACATTCATCACAACAGTACTCATTACAAATCCTCTTCAGAGCATGAATGAAACGGGCTGAATTTCTTCTACATCAGTTGGATGTGGATCAATCTACAGAGAGAAGAGAGGCCACAATTACTGCCTGTAACATTAGCATTTCTTTATGCAGGGTTGGCTTTTTTTGCCATCTGACAATAAGACAGCACCTGCTGTTTATTTTTTTACCTCAGAATAAAGAGGTGGAGGCTGAAACCGGAACTCTTGTATGTAAGCAAAGACAGGACAACACAATTGTTCCTCACAGTCTATTGGTGGTGGATAAGCAGGAACATGTCTGGAGAACTCTTCCTCAGACACTACATCAGCATAATTTGGTGGTGCTGAAACACAAGAGATGCTACTGTCAGATTTCAGACTATTCATTCACAGTGATACAACAGATTACAGCATCCTAGACCATGAAAACTGTATTAAATATTCGACTATTATCAAATTGTATGAAGTGCACTATACTCATAAATACTCTAACTAGAATTATGTTTTTAGTAAGCTTAGGTGATTCAGTAGGAATACTACAGATGCTCTTAGGGCTACTCCAGCAACAAAACCTGTGTTCTATCATGATATATTCAGCAATGATTAACTTTAAGGCTTCTAGCTCCAACACAGAATTCCCGCTATCAGAAGTTAGTTACTTCAAGACTCAGCTAATATTTAGGGGCAAAGAGAGACTTAAGAAAGGCTGGAGTTAGATCTTCACCCATCCTTCTGGATCTTGACTTAGATTTATGTGCCTCACTTCCCCTGAGTCATAGTTTAATGGCCTACATCCCTAGTAGTGCCCTTAAACTGCACTGCTGCCCTTCCACATAGCGCTGTGCTGTATTACAAATATTTCAATAGGTGTTTACCTTCAGGGTGTTCTGGCATGGTCAATGCCAGCCAGCTCATATCCATACTAAACTGGCTGGTAATGCTGGAGTTTCTGCTTGAAAATCCAATACATGGAATAGTGCCAATCACCAGAGGCATTTCAATCATCAATTTCTTAGCACCAGGAATATGGATATACACCTATGTGACAACCCCCAAATGAAAGAAGAAAAACATCATGAGACCCCATTGAATTACTGCTCCTAGAAGCTGCCCTACTGCCCTATGCTGCAGATTGCTTAGAAATCAGGGTTTTCTCATCTCTGCTATGTTTAGCTAATACTCTGGCAGCTTTCCTTATTTTCCAGCAATTTCCTTCCTTCTGTACCTTGTCTCTAGGTAGCATTAAAAAAAAACCACAAGAAAGGTTGACAAAAATAATTATGTACTTGACTTTCAGTTCTATCCTCCCACTTCTGTATCAAATCACTAGAGGAACCCACTCAGCTTGAACTACTTTCCTCTAATAACCTCTGCAGGTCTTAAACTAAGCTGCCTCTTTCTCAGAAAGATTCTTCCACTTTACCCATTATCCCTATTTTTCCATTTCAGAATCTGTTCTTGATCGTCAGTCCCTCACTTAAATGGTATATGGTATTTATTGCTATTTACTGTTGTTCCTAAATTCAAACTCGTAACAGTTGCTCAGTAAATCCTTCTATCCCCAACTCAATAGTCAAGAATATGCACATTTGTAATAAAAAGCCATACTTACAGCTAATGAATATTCTACTCTAATAATACAGCAGTCAAGTATAGAGGGGGATACAGGTGGGATTTTCAGAGTTTTCCCATTCCAGGTATCTGTACTCCCAGAGGCAATGTGGTTTCCTCGGACATTGGCAACCATCTGACGGAAGGTTTTTGTCTTCCCACTGGCCAGGTAAGTTTGTGTTTGGAAAATGGCAGCTTTTGGAACAATCAAACGAGAGGAACAGTTCTCAATTTCTGCATAGATTGGAATGGCTTCCCCTTCAAGACAGAGAAAGTTTAGTGAATAATTTGTATTTACCAACTTTCCTCTGGGAGTATCAAAGCATGTTATGCAGCACGTACATCATCTGCAATGTTATGAGAACAATACTTGTTAGTTTCCTCAAGCTAGGCTTATTTTTTTTTGCTGCAGAGTGGTATCCAGGCAGAACTACA